TTCATAGACCAAGACATTCTTCCATGTGCCTTTAAGGGTGTTTTAACATTCTCCTGCATTTTTTTCAGTACCTCTTCAATTTTTGCAGGTAGGGCATTTATTTTCAAAGCTTTTGCTTTATATACAGCTCCTTGCTTGACAGCATTATATTTGTCCTACTCTAGTGGGTACTATATTTACAAAGATCCAGCACATAGAGGAGACATGTTAAGAATGCTTGATTCATACTGTGCAAGAGAAAAGCCCTGAATGCTATTTTTCAGTATTAAAATTACACTTGGTACTTGAACAGCAGGGATATTAGGATTCCAAGAGGCAGCTTAATGGTAGAAGCACACAGAAAAGAGAGTTTCCCAGCGATAGAAGAATTACCTCTCCAGTGCAACAACTAAACTTCCATGAGGGTAGTGGGAACCAGGGTGAAACATCTGATTTGACAGAGAGGGACGTAAAGGTAAATGCCTATATGGCTGCTGAGAACACACAGCTTTTAGAATGTAAGTTGTGTGTGATCAGATTTTTAGGGATTTAAAAATTCAAGCTGCTTGGGATGCTTACAGTTGGTAGCAGAATTGGATCCAGAAAAGAAGTTTAGTTCTACTTCTAGGTTAAAGTTAAGTTGATGCAGATGATCTGGATTTTAAAATTTTTGTACTTAGTTGGATACAGCTATGCAATCGTAACATCAAGGGAAGCTACCACATGGGCCTATGAGTGAATGCACACTAGTCACTGCTAGCAAACAGCACAAAGAGGCTGCTGTAGAAAACTTATGAAATTAAATTTATGAAATGTGAAATGGTATTATATAAGTACATAATATTTTTATGTAATGTATAGATATATAAGTAAGTGTACCTTAAGAAGCAGATTACAAACATTATATAAAGTCTGATCCATATATATATATATATATATATACACATATATGCTTTATATATGTGTGTGTGTATACCTGGCTGGCTGGTTAGCTCAGTTTGTCAGAGCGCAATGTTATAACACCAAGGTCAAGGATTTGGATCCTCGCACTGCCAGCTGCCAAAACAAAACCAGGTGCTTTATATTCACAATGTCTCCCTCTCTGCTCTGTTGGCACAGTGCTTTGGGGCACGGCTATTGCTGTTGTGAGTTGAACTTGGTCAGTAATGGGTCTTCCTACCTGTCAGCATGGATAGGGTGTGTTATTTGAGCTTTGGCTACATCTCAGGTTTGTTCTCTCTTTCGTGGGCATTGTGGTGAACTAGAGCTACCATCCTTTGGGAGGTCCTCATCCAGATACCCACCCTCTTCTAGACACTTTTTCTCTTCCAGATACTTTTTCTCCTCTAGATACTCTCCCTCCTCCAGATACTCACCCTCTTCCAGAAATTTTTCATATAGGTATTCTTTTTCCCCCAGATACTCTCCTTCCTCCAGATACTCTTCCTCCTCTGGATACTCTTCCTGCTCTGGATACTCTTCCTCATCCAGATACTCTTCTTCCTCTGGATACTCTTCCTGCTCTGGATACTCTTCCTCATCCAGATACTCTTCTTCCTCTGGATACTCTTCCTCCCTTGGATACTCTTCTTCCTTTCCAGATACTTTTTCTCCTCTAGATACTCTCCCTCCTCCAGATACTCACCCTCTTCCAGAAATTTTTCATATAGGTATTCTTTTTCCCCCAGATACTCTCCTTCCTCCAGATACTCTTCCTCCTCTGGATACTCTTCCTGCTCTGGATACTCTTCCTCATCCAGATACTCTTCTTCCTCTGGATACTCTTCCTCCTTCAGATACTCTTCCTCTTCAGGAGGTAGAGATTTATCCTGCAGAGTCTCCTCATCCAGTTCTGCTTCAGTATCTTCTCCCTCTGAAGGTAAGGTCTGTGTGGAGCATTGGGAAGTTGTGGGAGGGTGAGGAGGTGATGCTCCTGATGACCCATTATTTTCAGCAGACATGCTGGGGAAGTGTTAAGCAGATGAACCCCTTCAATAGCAGGCAAAGTCACTTCATCATCCTGGTAACCAAGAAAGGAATAAAATCTCACTAGTCAGTGGTAGCCAATGGCATAGTGATTTAAATCCATTTTTGTTCACTCATTTTATTCAATAGTCTTTGGAGGGCCCTGTAAGTTTGCAGATCAGTACATCATGGCCCATGAAAAGGCATAAAAGGAGGGAACAGAGGCTTTCCTTCAATGAGCTAGTTGGGGAGACCACACCTGAAGACAAAGCCTTTGAAATTGTGGCTCAATATGAAGTGGACAAGGGGGGCTGGAAAGTGCCTTCCATGGCCTGCCTGTCCCTCTGACCTTCTCTCTTCGCATTCCTCCTGTCCACCGCCCCACCCTGTTATTGTCTTCTGCAGCCCTTACCAATGTGTCTAATTATGTATCTATTTTTGGGTTTTCTTGCTCAGTCTTTCTTTTCCACTAGGCAGTAAAGGTCTCAATGACAGTGACCTTACATGACCTGTTCCCCACTGTACCTCCAATGGTCAGTCTGGAGCCTGGTGCATAACAGATGTCCAGTAAACATAAGGCCAGTGACTGAATGAAGGACCTAGATGAGGATGCTCTAAAGCAGTGCATCCCAAAGCTTTCAAATGATATTTATTCTGCACAGTAGGATAAGTTGAAGAGGCTGCTCATTGTGGAGGCACCCAGTCTAAGAGATAAATATCTTGGTCTACCTTTTTCTGGCTCCCTGATTGGGAGGCTCTGTAGGAAACCAGCCAGATGGGACCACCAGGGTCACTGTTGGCTTATGCAGCATGATGCCCAGATGAGCGGTGTGATGGGCAAGGACAAACACAGTGGGCAAATGGCATATTCATCCACTCGCAGGGTTGCTGGAGCCCTTGGGTTATTGGGTTCTGATAGGCTTAGCCCGGGCAGTATGGTGGGCACAGAGGTGCACTGCCAGACCCCTTTTCAAAAAGGGACTTGCTGCCCAGCTGTGGGGAGTGCAGTGGACAGACAGCCTCAGGCTTCCAGCTCCTTCCAGATCTGCCTCTGCTGCAGAGGCTCCTCCCAGTAGTCATGCCCTTAAGCAAGGAGCAGGTAGAAAAGCCCAGCCAACCACAGGCAGAACACCTCTGAGAGGCAATATTCACCCCAGAGCTCTCCAGCAGGCTGGCCAAGGCTTGCTGAGCCTGTCCCATAAGTGTCATGTCCCTCTGCCCAGCCCTGCTTCCTCCCCCTTCTTTCTCAGGGGTTGATTCTTAGAAACATTTTGCATCTCAACACGTTGCATCTCAGCAGTTTGCATCTTAAAATCTATTTCCAGAGAACCCACTCTGTGATAGGCAGCTTTACAAAACATAAATGTGGAAAGGAGTTGACTGCAAGAGTTAGTACGGAATAGGGAGAGGCCTTGCAGGAAGCTTGACGGTTCAGGAGGTTGGGAGTGGGGGTGGAAGACCTGCCAGGGGCAGGGAAAACTGGTCCCGCAGAGAACTGAGGTGGAGGACCGTAAAAGTAAGGGGGACCTAGCAGTGGAGAGCTTTAAAATCCATTATGAAGCATTTTGGTGGTGTCAAAAGACAGAATTACAAACAATTTATTTATAGATCAAACTGGCTTTTATATGCGATTCATGAATTTGGGCAGCCTGCGGTCTACAAACTAGAATGAGAGCTGGCACTGGGCAGGGGCAGAGCGGTGGGTTTTGCAAGTGGAAACAAGAAAACAGAACAACAGAAAAAACTGGTTGACATCAGGTTACTTCAGGTTACTTTTCTGTAAGTGTTAAAGCAGAGGGGACTTCCTTATTATGCTGATTCAGGTAGACTGGAATCTCCAGTTTTCAGGAAAGACTGGTCTGTTTTGGGATCTATCTGCTTCCTTAAAGTTTCGGTTTGATTATGTGGCATTTAGCGTGAGTGACTCCATCCTGGTTTGGTCTCATCTATTGGGGCCTAATGCAGGAACTCAGTCCAAAACAATGGCTTCCTATAATTTTTGCTTAACAGTGGTGACCAGGAAAGTATTATGATTAGAGCAACTCTGGAGCAAGAGGATTCTAGTGGCCATTTGCCAGACAGTTAAGAAATAGCAGAGATGGGGAGCTTTGCCTGCAGTTGACTTGCTCTTTTATCGGTCATTTTATGGCTCTGTGGTCTGTACGTGTCTTTTCATGTAGGCTGCCTCAGATGTATTTTGGAGGAGGTGAGTGTAAATAATATATGAGATGATGGTAGAAGAAAGTGCCTTGGGGGCAAAGAGTGACCTACAGAAAGCTGTAAGACCTATCTCTCTGTCTACAGAAGCCTCTTGCATTTTAAAGGAAGCCCCTCCAGCTTTATTTGACTTAAAACCTAAACACACCACCTACTAATGCTGTTCACTCTAACACCCACTGGCTCCTGATGGCTTCCCCATCAAACTCGGCCATTAAAATGATTTGTAGAAAATGTAATAACATTAAATTTATGAAATATGAAAAGACATTATATAAGTACATAAATTTATATATAATTGCAAAGAATAAATGTATAAATAAACGTAAATGAAAAGTGGCGACAAAGATCCTTTGCTTGACCAAAATTTAGTCAGGCTCCTGAGCCTTCTCCCAAGCCTGTCTGTGCACTTCCTTGTAAAATCCAGTTTTAGCAAGAACCCTACTAAGTCAGTTTAGCAAGAACCAACTCCACCCCCTCATCCTCCACCGTCCCCAGGTGATGTCTGCTTATTCCTTGTAAAATCCAGTTTTAGCAAGAACCCTACTAAGTCAGTTTAGCAAGAACCAACTCCGCCCCCTCATCCTCCACCGTCCCCAGGTGATGTCTGCTTATCCTGACCTGTTTTCTGCAAGAATCTGGTAGGTTGGTTGTAAGCTAAATGCAGGACATAGACCTATCCACCCTCTCTGTGCGTGCCAGAGCTCTCCCTCCCCCCTGGGAAACTACCCCTGGCCAAGGTAGTTTACCCAAGGAAAGGCATGTCTCCTCTAAGATAAATGTAAGACAGTAGGAAACAGGAGTAAATTAATTAGCATGTAAATGCAGTTAGAACACTCATACTAACTACTCTGGAGCCAGGAAGGTAACAGATAAGTTAACTTATCTACTCAGCCAGATCTGTTGTGAGCTCTGAGTTGGGTGAGGGGCACATAGGCATGCAAATGACTTACACCTCTACTTTGATCTGTTCACTATATAACTGTTGTATGTACCCTGTGGCGGTGCGCATTTCTAGCTGACTGGCAGCCATCAGCACCTCCTGTAAGTCTAATAAACTGAAGTTTCTACCTATTGCAATATTGGGTGCATTTCTTTGAAACAGGCGAACACTATGTGAGTGCGCCTTCAGATCTGGGACTCCTGTGATACATCAGCTTAGCCAGAATTCCCTTTTACCCCTCATATTTCTTCTTAGTTAATTTTCCATCCACCCTGATGACATCTTGATGTCTACTCTTAGCTAATTTTCTATCCTCTTCTCCCCACTCTATTGCTTGGCTATAAATTCCCCCTCACCCTTGCTGTATTCAGAATTGAGCCCAGTTCCATACTGAGAGCCCTATTCTCCTATTGCAATAGTCTTGAATAAAATCTGTTTTTACTGCTTTAATGGCTGTCCACATCTGGTTTCCTCTGACAGCAGGTCTGACTAACCCTACCTTGGGAAGGGTAAGGAGCACATGTAGACACCTAGACACCGGCCACTCCATCAAAGGCTTTCACTTCAGGGCTCCCTTTCAGATTTTTGAGGTGCTTAAGAGATCAAAATCAGCTGGGCCCCTGGACAGCCCAGAGAGCATTTATCAATGCAAGCTGTCATTCAGGGGATGAGGCTTTTCTTCCCACTTTCTCATCAGGCCTTGTAAAAAGGGTCCAGTTAGCTGCATTCTTGTGTCAAAGATCAGAAAAGAAACTGCATCCTAGACACGCTCCCTTTAACTCCCCTAGAAATTTGTAAGAAAAGCCTACAGAAATAAATAGTCACGGCAACTTAATAGCCAGCATCTGAGGCAAACATCCTGGCTCTGACCTGTGATTCAGATCTTGACTCATTTTGATTGTCATTTCTGACCAGTTGCAGGTTAATTTCTGTGGTCACAGCAAGAAAAGCATCTTTATGTAGCTGATTGTAGCTCACTGATCTCTAGATTAGCTTCACAAGATGACTGTCCCCATCAGATGTATTTTATTCAGTTTCAAGAGTGTTTTTTTAAAAATTAGTGGAGATATTTAGAATTGGAAAGATTCACAAACAATAGAGGGGTCTGGCTTCTCTTAGGAGTAGGAGCCACTGCTGGGCTGGCTTTCCCATGTGGAAATACCGAGGCTGAGCTGAGGCCCCCCTCTTTGAGTGGATGTCCATTTCTGCCTCTGTCCCCACCACTGCCTGTGGTTGCTTGACTCTCAGGCACATGTCCTGTTGTGTTTCTTACCATACAGCATAGTTCTCTGGACCCATGTCTCTACTAAATTTGGGAAAACAAAAGATATGCTGCAAGGTCTGATTTTTCTCTCATTTTGCCTACTCATGTATGGGCTCTATCATTCTGGCCCCCGCTGAGAGGGGGAGCCTTGGCTCCAGGCTGTTTGTCTGGTGGTGGCAGCGTCACATTTACACAGTTCACCACCAGTACCTGCACCTAGCACCATGTTGCTCCCGTAACAGGCACTCAGTAATACCTGCTGAATGAATAAATGAACAAATAAAGGAAAGTGTTATTAGTCACGTTCTATATGCTTTGCCAAATTTGCTTACTAATTATGTGCATACACTTATTTAGTGAAGAGGGGTAAAGGGGTGAAACTTTACGTCAGGGCTAACATACCACCACAGTCTCGTGGATGGAGATCTGCGTAACCCCTTCTGCACCACACAGGAAATGAGAGGCTCACTGATTTTCCTACGAAGAGGTTTTTTGGATCCCACTTTTAATTCCAAGGTGAACATTCTTATTTGAAATAAATAGCTAACAAATAGCTAACAAACAAACAACCC